TAATGCCCCTGCTTAGCCAGGGCCTTGTCAGCAGCTGTCCCACTTGAGAGGCAGCTGCCAGCAAGCCACCTGCCAGGCAGGGGTTCCCTGCCTGGCAGGGGGCTTACCAGCAGCTGCCCTAGAAGCAGGACAGCTCCTGGTGAGCCTTCTGCTAGAAGCCCCGCTGCACACATGGCTCACTGGCAGCTACGTGATCCAATGTGGATGGGGCCAGGAGAGCTCTGCCAGTTACACGGTGCTGGGAGACAGCTGCTCCTGCACATCAGGACCCCCCTCTAGATCCGATGTGCATGGGACCAAGAGACAGCTGCCACTGCAGCTGGCAGAGCTCTCCTGGCTCCATGCTCATTGGAACTGGCCCCCACGACCCCTGGAGCTCCCCCTGGCTGCTCAGGGGGGCAGAGGAGGCTAGGAGCAGCCCTGTACCAGGCGGCTCCTCTTAGGAGCAGATTTGCTCCCAGCAGGGTGCATGTGTCCACGCAATCCCAGGGAAGGCTTACTGCACAGTAAGATACACATTAATAGCACATGTAGAGATGGCCAATTTAAGTTAAAGCTCTCCTAACCAAGGCAAAATTCTAGAGTATAAAAGCAAGATTTCCATTTGGAATCAAAGCTTTTAACAGAACACAAAAAACTGTCTGCACCACTAATACATTCTTCTCTTTCTAATACTACAAAATAAAAGAAAAAAAGGTATGGTAAACACAGAAGATGACAGAAATGCACTAATCATGGTGCCACATTACTGCACTATTAATATGCAAAAAACAGAAGTCTAGTATATAGCACTTAAATGGTGGGCATCCTGCAAAGCTTAATCCTTCTTTGGTAAACAGTAGAATTTCTACTACTGGATTTTAATACTGCCTCTCCTTGACACAGAAAAAAAACAAGGCAAATAATATTTTTTTTCTGGTAAAAATCAAGTAAAGACTGGGTAACATACAAAAATGGGACAGTACTATGCCAGCCTCTTTTCCTCTAGATGAGAAGGCATGCTGCAAGTAGTTTTCAGGCAGAGTCTGCAATTCTGCCTTTCTACAGATGTTCACAAGAAAATCAAATTACCTTCATCTTCCATAACATTTTCATACATATGCCTTTATACATAATAAATCTCACTGAAGTCAACTGGAGTCTTTCCTTGCAAGTCATAAAGGCAGAAGGAAACACTGTAATCATGTATTCTGGCCTTCACTATTTATCCAGATAACAGGAACTGAATTCTGGACAGTCCTATTTCACTTAATTGAAAATGCTGAGTGAGGGAGAACTCTCACCCTTCTCACTAAGTTGTACCTACAGTTAATTAAAGTTCTATTGACATTTTTACATCTAATTTCTTGTATGGATGTGTCTAACTTCACATTGCAGTTACTGGATTTTGTCATGCCTTTGTTAAACTGAAAAGCTCCCTTATCGAATTCTAGTTACCCTTTATGTACATTAAATGATAAAACCAACCCTCTTTGCAAATCTAACTGATCTGAGTCTCACCGTAGAGCATATTTTCCAATCCTTGTAACTCTTTGAACTCCTTCCAACTTATCAAAAACCTTCTTGATTTTTTGACACCCCAGAACTGGATAGAGTATTCCAGTAGCATTTGCAACAGTGCCAAACAGAGGTAATATAACATCCCTACTCATTATTCCCCATTTGAGTTTTTGGCGACAGTAGCCACTGAGAAGTCATATTCAGCAGACTATCCCACACGCCACCCTCCAATTTCTTTCTAGAGTTACTGCTTATAAGACTAGATTCCTCCATCCTCTAGATCTGTTCCTTTTTCCTTTTCCAGCCACATTAAAAGTGCACATAACTTGATTATGGCCACTTTACCAAGCAACATAGGTCACTCTGAATCAGGTCCATAGTACAGATGCTCTCCAAAATAAACAATGATATTCTGTCCAGTTGTTACCACTATTTCAGATTTTTTAAAAAAACTACTATTCTGACAGTCCAGCGGGTTCTTCAGTGCAAGCCATGCAGTGTCAGAGGAGTGTAAAGCAGTTGATGGCAGTCAATGGGTCAGCAAATTACCTCTCCTTGTTTATGGCTATTATATCCAATTTAAAGAAACAAGAAACACCTTTAAAAACTTCTTATGCTTGCCTGTAATTGTCAGAGTATAAAACAAAATGACTACTTGCAAGAGGAGAAAGGTGGCAAGACACTATTACAATGTGGTTCAGTTAAGTGTTGAACAGTCTAGTTATTGGTGCGCTCTTTCACTTTTTATGTCTGCATACAGCATATGGACAACATTTTGAAAGTGCTGATAATAACAGAGAACACACACAGAGATCACCCCAGCAGCCAGTACCGGAGAAAGCTAAGTATCGTCAGGAAATTACTGATTCATTACTGGGGTATAGGTTGCAGCCATATTGTTCTAAGGACATAAGCAGACAATATATCAGATTTAACCAAAGAGCCTTGTCTGACTCATTACTGGATATTCTATTAATTCCCAAGTTTACATCTAAACAGTAGCAGGGAGTGCTTCCCTCCCAAAGACAGGATAGGGAAGTAATATCCTGAAGGGCATAGGACTCAAAAGAAAGCTGGAGGCTGCCTGGGTGCAGGCCAGAGAAGGCAGCTGCAGAGGGGAAGACCAGATAGCAGGCAGCATGGGAAGTAGGACTGGACGGCCTGAAAGCTAGTTTGAGATGTGTTTGTTGGAAGGGGTGACAATAATCACAGCAGCAGATGTTTGCAGGCCATAGCCAGATGACACAGGGCAGTATAGAAAAGAGTTCCAGATTTCTATCTTACTTCTTCTTTATTGGGTTGCCTCTAGGGGGCTGTCTCAGGAACTGGGGGCTGATCTTGCATCTTCAACTCAGAACTACCCTGCCAAGAAAACCTGAAACTTATTTCTGGCAGAACCTGCAGTGCCTATAAAATAATCCCTTCCAATCCAGACTGCACATTTAAAACGACCCATCAAGGGATACTATCTACAGAACCTAGTGCTTGGGTCAACAGTACTTATCCCCAAGCTCATGGGACAGTCAGCATCCTGTAAGATACCTAAAACTCAGCGCAACCAAAACAACTATGGCCATACCATCATGGGGTCGTTTACAGAATGAAAAATAAGATTTACATAGTGGGGTACACATTTCCAATGCTCTCCAGGCAAAAAAGATTGCTCCATTAGCTGAAAAAGTACCTATAGCTGGCTCACTGAAGAAACAACTTTACCTTCTGCATTGCTAGTTCTCCATCACTGTAGTTTTTTTAAGCCTAACAGTGTTGCAGTCTGTGTGGATAGGATGGCAGCTACACACTACACTAACTCAGATATTAAGTGTATCCAGAGAATATAATTATTAAAAGTTGAACTCAACCCTCTCCTCTAATGAGAAGAGTCTTGACCTATGCTGTTTTTGGTGACCATCACTTTAGCATCCATGCATCACAAACTTACTGCTACATCATCCCCATCAATGTTTTAATTTTAGAAGTTTGTCTTTAAAGAAGACAACTGTCAACAACATATTAGAGCAGGAAGAAAAAGCCATCCTATATGTCAGTCCAGGTTTCCCAAAGGTAGTCACCTTTAAGTATCAGCTAACCACAGGCAAGATGTGCACTGCTATTGACATCAACAGACATTCAATTCAATGGGAGCTTCACCTATGGATCAACTGTAAACTCAGACCCATAGTTAAACTATTGGTACGACAGTATTTATGATTATGACTGATGATCTAAAAGCAATGGATGAGCTTAAGCATTTCCATTACTTTTGGGCAAGGTTGCTCAACCTCTCGCCCATGGAGCCTTGCAATCTGGCCCACAGAGGTCCCCAAGGGTCCAAAAATCTGGCGGCAGGGAAGCAGTGGCAGCAACGACCTATTGCCAAATTTCCAGACCCGTGGAGAGCCCCATGGGACAGCCAGCGCAACAGATCAGCATGTGAAGGCACTGTGGGTCCAATCTGGCAGCACTGGACTGAATGGAGGCAGCGTGGGACCCCATCGGCAAATCCTGGCACATGGATCGATTCCATGCCAACTCATCCTGCTTTAGGGCAGGGGTGCTCAACCTCCAGCCCACAAGCCAGAGGTGGCCTGTGGAACCATGTCTGGCCCACAGGATTCCTCCCAGGTTGGGAAATTTAGCAGCAGGAAAGGAGTGGCTAGTAAAGCAGCCACCGTCCCCTACAGCCAAACTCCCAAACCCCACACAGTGGGGAGGGGCCAGGTCACAACCCTCCCCCCCCGGCAGCCAGATGGGGCCAAGTTACACCCCATCTCTGCCTGCAGTGCTGGGGCTGCCCCCAACTGTAGGGACAGTGGGTTTAGTGCCGCCACGGCTAAACTGAGACCATAAACCAGGTCCGACTCTCAGACAGGCCAGGCGCTGAGCATCTGGCCAGCTGGCCAAGAAGGTTGAGCACCACTGCTTGAGGGCCCTGGGAGGAGGCGCCCACCAAACCCACAGGAGACGGCTAAGTCCAAGACAGTCACCAACAAACAAATGCCCCCATGCCCAGTGCATGGATGAGGCAAAACCTGCACCGGGGTCTGACCCGCAGCACGGGACTGAGCCTGAGGGAAGGGAGAAAGACACCCCCTCCCCCCATCAAAGAGGGGAAGGAGAAGACACGGAGCCAGTCAGGCACGCAACCGTGGAAAACGAGGGTGGGAAGGGACCTCAGGAGGGCATCTAGTCCCACTCGCTGCTCAAAGCAGGACCATCCCCAACAACATCATCGCAGCCAAGGCTTTGCCCACCCGGGGCTTAATTAAACACCTCCAAGGACGGAGCTCCTCGCGCTCCTGGCCAGCAACTTTTCCCTCCTCTCCCCGCTCAACTCCCCTCGGAAGTCCCTGCAGCTGGCGCACAACAAGGAGCCCAGCCCAGCCTCTGCCGCCGCCAGTGAGGCGGAGGAAGGGGGAAGCCGCGGGGGGCGGGGGAAGAGCCGTTACCAAGGAGGCTGTGCGTGTGTGTGAGAGAGATCCACCCTGCCCCGCCAGTACCTGCGCGCAACCCCAAACGGCTCCCCGCCGCCGCCGCCGCCGAAATTGAAGTTCGTAGTCCGACGCTGCCAGCCAGACCCGCGCCGGCCCCGCCCACCCCAGCCCCCGGCCAATCTGCTGCTGCCGCCCGCCGCCAGGCCTCGCCTCCTCCCCCCTCCTCCGCCGGGGCTTCCCTTCAGCCCCGCCCCCGTCATGTCCTCTGAGCCCCCGCCCAATCCGGCTGCCTCAGTGCCGCCCCCTGCCGGGTTCCTTCAACGCCATTGGTGAGGTCGTGGGTCTGTCGTCAGACAAGGCGGAGCCTGTAGCTCATGCCCCTAAAGCGGGGCACCCGCTAGTCACTCTGCAAGTGGGCTGGGACGGTCAGGAGTGTGGACAAGTCTGCCCCTGGCTCCTGGGGTTAGGCCTGGCTGTAGGTAGGGCCTTGTCTAGGCAGTGGAGGGGGCTACTTGGCAGCTGCGGAAAGCAGGCTGCCTCCTTGGGCAAATAAAAGCCAGCCTTCTTCACTCTGAAAATAAACCTTCACCTGCTTGAGCACAGCTTGTTCTGGGAGCATGCTTCAGCCTTGCCCTCTCTACAGAGTCTGCTCTACTTAATGGCCCCTGTGCAAAGCAGCAGCCTTGCCTGTTGAGAGCTTGCTTTCTTAACAGATAACAGAACAGAGGTGAAAGCCAGCAAACGGGCAACAAGGTTGTCAGGTATCCAGGTTGTAGCCATGTTGTTGTACAGCAGGGGTGGCCAGCCTGCAGGTCAGGAGCCATGCGCAGCTCTTCAGAAGTTAATACGCGTCTCCTTGAATCTTTGCACAAGCACCAGTTTACAAATGGGTGACCAGCCGCATGTGACTCCAGAGCCACAGGTTGGCCGCTCCTGGCATAGAAGCAAAGGGAATCAAAACTTGCAGACTCATGGCAGAGGTGATATCTTTTATTAGACCAACTAGATATTTGTAATATAGATAATTAGTTATTTGCAAGCTTTCAGGCACCCTTCATCAGGCATAGGAGATGAAAAAGATTGTAAAAGTTCTCCTGTGTAGAAATGAAAACCTAGAACTTTTGCAAAGTTAGTGCTTGAAAATGCATAGGCGAACTTTTACAATCTTTGCAATCTCCTGTGTCTGATGAAGGATGCCTGTGCCTGAAAGCTTGCCAATAAAGACTTTTTTTACAAACATCCAGTTGGTCTAATGAAAGAGATCACCTCTGCCATGAGTTTTGATTCCATGATGTTTTGAGAATTTGTTTGATTCTTGACCCTGACTTGCCAGTGCTACTGAGTTGAAGCCGTCCCTTTATACTCAGAAAATATAACTTCAGGAGAAACTAGAAAGAGAAAGCAAAAAGGCAGAAAAGCATGATGCACCAGTGAGGCCAGAGGTTCAAGGCATGCGGATGAATGAATATGGAGCAAAGGGTCCCTTCCAATGTAAAAATAAATCTCATTTCTACACACACAACACTTCATGCCAGGCAACCCTTAGCTGGCTAAGATGCAACGAGGGTGACAGCTCTGTGGTGTGTTCCTTGGGAGGTGAAAAGACGACAATCATTTGCAACCTGATGGACTGGGAAGAGAAAATGGAGCATGTGTTCAGACAGGCATATTGGGATGTGTGTGAGAAGGCTGCAAAGCTCTTGGAAAGAAAATGTATGAATACGTGTTAAAAAAAAGTATTTGGGAGCAGTTAATGAAGCTGGGGCTTTTATATCCCTACTCTTTTCTGTATCTGAGCAGGGAAACAAAGCCTGGTTATACACACAGTCTCATTAAAAGAACATTAAGGTTACAAAGTCAAACATTCCACTTAGGAAATGCCAAGGTTGCCAGGATTACTCAATTTCATCACCCTGGGGCATGTGCATTGTGATTGTCTTTAATTACATGACCGCTGAGTGAAGCAAGGGTCATCTGGGGAAACAGAACAGAATGCCAGGGTGTCTATGCACATGCTCTGTGGTGGAGGGTGGCACGCTTTAATTAGAGCAGCTCTGAAAGCTGCTCTCATTAAAGCACCTGCAGCATCGCATATATTCAGTGTCCCACGATTCAAAATGGTGGCGGGGGCGCTTTAAGTAAAGCTCGTTTGACAAGCTTTAGTTAAAGCACCCTCACCACCGTTTTGAAATGCAGGAGCGCTGAATACATGTGACACGGAGGGTGCTGGATCACACTAATTAGCATGCTCCAGCACACTTGATTAATTAGTTGGATCAGAGCTGACGTGTATAAGTGCCCCTGTTCTCCCAGAGCATCCCTGCCTCACCCAGTGATCAGGGAGTGTCTCTGGAACAGAGCTGTGCAGTGAAGGGAGCTGTTTCTTATAGGACCCCTGATGCATTGATGGCAGAAGTTGTGAGGAAGCCTGGAACTGGACGAGAAGGGTTAATTTCATAGTTAAGGCAGGTGAGCATGGTCCTGGAAGACTGGATCCTAATCTGTCTGTAGGTCCTGCTACATGTTTAAATTAAAGCTGGCTAGAAACCAGCTGTAAAGCTGTTACACATTTTCAAGCACTCACTTTATAGCTGGTTGGCTCTTATTATAGCTGGATAGTCATTTTTATCCTGTGATCACTACATTTCAGGTGTGGCCATTCTAAATTTATTGTGTGATTGGCCAGTGAATTGAGTAATAAAAGTAACATGTAGCAAGAGCCTGTCACAGTTCTTTTGCAGTCCTCAAATCACTTGCACCAGAACATTTCCCAGGTGCTCCCTAGCTGTATGCTCCTCCTTTTCTTGCTGCCTGACCCATTTATAGTTCAGCACACAGATGCAGCTGAAGTCAGTAGGAGGTGTGCAACAAACATATAGATCATAGGAAAGTAGCGCTGGAAGGGGCCTTACAAGGTCATCTAGTCCAGGCCCCTACCCGAGGTAGGATTATCCCTGACTAAGCCATCCCAGCCAAGTGTCTACCCAACTTGCTCTTGAAATTTTCCAGGGATAGAGATTCCACTATTTCTCTAGGTAGCCTGTTCCAGTGCTTGACCACCTCATAGTCAGAAAGTTCTTCCTGATCTCTAACCTAAATTTCCTCTGCTGAAGATTGAGGTCTTTGCTCCTAGTCCTGTCCCCTACAGCCACAGAGAAAAGCCCATCTCCATCCTCTCTGTAATTACCCTTCAGATATTCGAATACCATTATCAAGCAAAATGCTGGCTTGCATCCACAGATGCTTCTCAAGCAAATCCCAGGATGTCATTCTCCCATTGTACTCGGCCTTGGTGAGGCCGCAGCTGGAGTACTGCGTCCAGTTTTGGGCTCCACAATTCAAAAAGGATGTGGAGAAGCTTGAGAGGGTGCAGAGGAGAGCCACATGCATGATCGGAGGTCAGGAAAACAGACCTTACGATGAGAGGCTGAGAGCCATGGGACACTTCAGCCTGGAAAAGTGCAGGCTTAGGGGGAACCTGGTGGCCACCTATAAGTTTATCAGGGGTGCTCGCCAGGATCTGGGGGAACATCTGTTCACCTGAGCACCCCAAGGGATGACAAGGTGGAACGGTCACAAACTTCTCCATGACCGCTTCAGGCTGGACATAAGGAGGAACTTCTTTAGTGTCCGAGCCCCCAAGATTTGGAATAGACTGCCACCAGGGTGGTTCAAGCACCTGCCTTCAAGAGACATCTGGATGTTTATCTTGCTGGGATCCTATGATCCCTGCTGACTTTCTGCCTCTGGGGCAGGGGGCTGGACTCGATGATCTTCTGAGGTCCCTTCCAGCCCTAACGTCTATGAAATCTATTAAATCAAATATTCCCTCCCCACCCCCACCCAGTATTCTCTTCTCCAAACTAAGTAACTCTAGATCTTTCAGCCTTCCCTCATGTATCTTGCTTCCCCCAGTCTCTTCCCCACTGTCCACCCCCAGCTGCTTGCAGGCTTAGCCTCTAGCCAGAGGGGAGCTGCACTTAGCTGGGAAGCTGCAAACTGCATCCAGAACTGCAAATAGCTATATCAAGGCTGGGCTGGGTAGAGAGCTGCATCTCCCAGCCTGCACAACTGCTGCTTCTCCCCAATTCCCCCTCTTCCTGGTTGCAGTTGGGATACAACTTCCAGCCCCTGGGGAGCTGTGCAGGGGCAGGGCAGCTTCCAGCTGTGCCCATGCTGCAGCTTGGAGGCAGACCAGGTGGTAAAGTCTAGGGGGAAGGAGGCTGGAGAGAAACAAACAGCAGTGAAAATGCAGTTTGCAGCTCAACGCTGGTGCAGCCCCCCGCTAGCTGAAAGCCAAGCTGCCATGCCGAGAAGCAGCAGCCTGCACTGCAGGCTCAGTCAAAGCCCTCCAGCTCTGTGGGTTGGATTCAGTGGCTACATGGGCCGGATCCAACCCACAGACTGTATGTTGCCAACCCCTTCCCTAAGACGTGTCCCATCTGGCCCTGCGATCTGAAAGCATCAAGCATCTAGCTTCTCTAAATAATCCCTAACTTGTTCTACCATTACTAGCTTGTTTGTCTCCTTCCCCATCTTAGCTACCAACTGCACTCGTCATCTGATAGCTGCCCCTATTTGTGAAGACAGAAGTAAAAAAAAAAAAAAGGGGTATGAAATACTCAGACTTCACTGCATCATCTGTAACTAGATTGCCTTCCACATTTC